ATAATATACCCTAAGCTTTTCCTCATTTTAGTGCCAACTTTAATAATTGTCATATTTTGGTATATTTTTTGCAAAAGCACGGCCGGGTCAAGTATTTTCCTGGTAGATTTTGCATGTTACAAGCCCCAGAATAACCAGCAAATTTGCAGACAGAATTTTCTCAACAGAAGCAGCAGAGAACTAAAGTTTAACAGTGACACACTGGAGTTCATGGACAGGATCTTGCAAAGATCTGGCTTAGGAGATAAAACGTGTGTTTCTAAAGGCTTGTTAAGCGATCCTATGGATATGAGCACAAAAGCTGCTAAGGAAGAAGTGGAGATGGCGGTTTTCGGAGCCATAGATGAGCTTCTGCTGAAAACTGGAGTTAGATGTGAGGAAATAGGTATATTGGTTTCTGTCTGCGGCGTTTTCAATATTATGCCATCATTGTCAAGTGTCATAGTGAAACGTTACAAGCTAAGAGAAGATATCCGCAGCTATAATATGACAGGAATGGGGTGCAGTGCTGGTCTTATTGCCTTAGGACTTGTTCAAAATCTACTCAAGGTTCTTCTCTCAACTGGATCTCACCCTTTTTCATGTATGCTATAACTTCCTTTTTTTACCCCGAGGTTAAGTATCGTGTTTATAAATTTTATACGCCATTACATTATGTTAATAATAATTTTATTATTACCAAAAATATACAAAATAATGATCTGTTATATTCAATTATTAATTTGAATTAATTAATAGTACAACAACAACTCAGTATAATTTCACTAGTAATTAATAGTAATATACAAAAAAATTGTACTATCTATATACCATATAACTTAAATCGTTTTTCTTTGCCTCTTAATGCAACTTCAATTATCTTTCTATTTTGAATCATCGGATATCTGTATCTACTGGATCAACTAATAGGGGTTAGCGCAGCATAGGATTTATCAATATATTATATAACTAAAAAAGAATTTTTTTACCTAGCTACACAATGTAATTATCTGGGTGAAGGTATATGTGCCCCGTCACTATTTATTAAGGGAAATCACTAGATCGATATCTAATTAAGGCGTTGGATGTAGGGCTGTTCACGGTTTGACGGAAAACCGATCCAAACCGAAAACCAAACCAAACCGATATTTTTTTTGTTTGGATTGGTTTTGATTTTAAATTTTAAAAACCGATAATATTTGGTTTGGTTTTGGTTCTATTATAAAAAATCAAAAATTAAACCGAACCAAACCGATTAATTATATACAAAATTTAATAATTATTTATATACAATATAATATCTTTTTCTAAATAATTTTAAATATTTTATGCAATTTAATTGTTATATTGAATTTTGCTTTATCCTACTTATATCTTAAAGGATTGCCTAAGCCCAAAACAATAGGAATCGGCCAATTTTCTTTTCCTTAAGAGACTTTAATTCTCTAACTCTCCGCATATACTTTTGCCTAACAGAAGAGTTAAAAAAAATTCTACCATAAGAGTAAAGAAAGCAAACTCAAATTACAGGACTACAATGGCTAAAGTTTGAGAAAGCAAACTTTTAGTTGTTTTTTTGTTCATTCTTTTCATATAAAGAGGTAAATAAACTTTCAGTTCCGAAAGAAATATATAAAAAAAATATAAATTTAGCAAATTATTTTTAGATTATTGTCTAGTGTTGTTTCACTATTATCGACTTATTATTAGCTTACTACGAACCGAAAAACCGAACCAAACCGATCCAAACCAAACCAATGACAACCAAACCGATGATTTGTATTTAATTTAGTTTGATTTTGGTTTTAAAATTTTAAAAACCGACTAAATTGATTTGATTTTAGTTTTAATCAAAAACTGCTCAAATCGAACCGTGAACACCCCTAGTGAGATGTCATCTATCCCACAATGTTCGCGGTAACTTCCCACCCACTTTTAACAAAATCTCCATACCTATCTATCTTTATAGAGAAAAAAGAAACTTAAATGTTAGACGTCTTGACCAATATTGGTTCTATGCTTTCTTTTCTCGGTTATTTCGACCTCACAACCTAACTACTTCCTCGGTTTCAATTTAAATGATATACTTTTTGTATTAGTTAGTTTAAAAAAGAATGACACATTTTTTCAATTGAAAATAATTCAATTTTATACTCTTCATTTTACCTATTTTACCCTTAATGAGAAGCTTTTATAACCACACAAATGTCATAGTCCCATAAAGCTTTTACCCCTTAAGTTTTTAAGACCACAAATTTTAAAAATCTTTTTTTTCCTTAAACTCCGTGCCGAATAAAACTAACTCATCTAAATTGAAACAGAGAAAATATTAGAAGAGAACGACTAAAATATCCTTTCTAATATTTCCATATTTGGTCTCACTACCAACCTTTTGTACAGTGATACCCTAAATTCATCTTATCTTTTGCTTTGATATGAACAATTATTTAGGAAATGCCATCTATCTCATATTATATAACATTGTTATTATCTTGTATTAGGGGCGTACACAGAAAATTTTATAAGGGGTGTCGAAATATATAGAAGAATTGGGATATAACTTTGTGTATTATATTTTTAAAAAAGAAATAGTCTTAGTCTATTGGCTTTGTTGAGTATTAAATTGGAAAAGATCCTGTTTGAACCTTTGACCTCTTATAGGAAAATCAAGCACCTAATCATCACACCAAGATATAATTTATATCAAGTGGTGTCATTTTTTTCTACTTATCTATTTCCGTACAATATTAATATTCATATTGAGTAAAATTTTCCAACGAAATGGTATCGCGTGACACCACTTCGACAAGCGTGCATCTGCCCCTGTCTGGTATACAAAATCCTTTGATCATTATTATTATTATTATTATTAATATTCTGTAAATATTTTCAATTATGAAATTGTGAGTTATAGTATTGTTCGTGAAGTTCTTTCACATGCAAATATTGAGAACCCGATGTTTGGACTAACATTGAAAAACAAATAATTTAATTCTCGTACTCCTAATGTTGTCGTTTTTCAACAAAAAAAGTATAAGTAATGTGAAAAATTAGTACCATCTCTTGAAGTGGCAATATGTGTTTTCCGATCAGTACTTTTGAGAATGAATTATGATATTTTATGGAGTAACTTTTTTTTTTTGAAAATTAGAAAAGTTAAAATTCTTAGGCCTTCACTAGATATTAAGTGTATTAGTTGACGCAAAACTCATAAATCAGACGTAGTGCCCGTTTGGCTTAGCTGATTTAGAGTAGCTGATAAGCATTAGGTGCTGAAAAGTACTTTAACTGTTGAAGCTGATTTAAAAAATAAACAGTTACGTGTTTCGATAAAAGTGTTGAAATAAATAATAAGCAGCTGAAGAATTAGGTATATGAAGAATTTTGTTTTAAAAAAATTATTTTAGTGATAGAATAGTAAATATTTTAGTCAAACCTAAAGTGCTTATAAACTGAAATTTGATAAGTTGGGGGAGACCAACTTATGCCTTTTGGCTTATTTTTGGCTTATAAGCACTTAACTTATAAACACTTTTAATTTTACCAAACGTGTAGATAAGCCAAAAAACGTATATAAGCCAGTTTAACCAGCTTATAAGCTTAGCCAAATACCCCGACAGTAACATACTAACATTGTTCATCCACTCATGATATACTGTTGTGCAGGTACATGATAATTCCTATGCCCTATTAGTAACGACTGAGAGCACCACAGACAACGTATACAAAGGCAATGACCGGTCAAAATTGCTAAGCAATTGCGTATTTCGTGTTGGTGCGGTCGCCCTTCTCCTCTCCAACAAACCGTCCAATCAGAATACCTGCAAGTATGAGCTCGTCCACACCGTCCGATCTCAAACAGCAAAGAACGATCGCTCCTACAACTGTATTTTCATGGAAGAAGATGAACAAGGACATCGAGGAATCTCGATTAACAAAGATCTCTTGTACGCAGCTATGAAAACCATTCGATCAAACATATCCACTGTAGCTCCCCTAGTCCTTCCTCTATCTGAACAATTCCGTTACTTGATGAATATTATAGTGCGGCGCTTTCGCACGGGAAGTAAAATGGAGCCTTATAATCCTGAGTTCTCCAGAGCAATCGATCACTTCTTCCCACACGTCGGCGGGAAACCAGTGTTGGATGATTTGCAGAAGAAATTGGGATTTAGCGATGAACAAATGGAAGCTTCTAGAATGACATTATACAGATTTGGTAACACTTCCAACAGTTCGATCTGGTATGAAGTGGCTTATGCGGAGGCGAAAGGTAGGGTGAAAAAGGGAGACACATTGTGGCAGATTGCATTCGGGTCGGGTTTCAAATGTAGCAGTGTGATTTGGCGGGCGACCCGATCCATTGATTGCGACGAGATGAATCCATGGAGCGATGAAATTGACGAGTTCCCCGTAGATGTTAGCAAGATCGGAGCACTCTCAGACCTATTCGTTGCTTCCAAGTAGGAAAAATGCATCTTAATCTCTAAAACCATTGTTTGGATGGTTGTTATGTATCGATTCATATTGTATCGTATGATATTATATTTTATTGTATTATATCGTTTTGATATACACAATATCAATATAAAGAATAACATTATTCTTTATATATAAAAAAAAGTAGGGTAAAAGATAAAATAGAATTATTTAATAATAAAGAAAGGCAAAATGAGAGAAAAATATATGATAACGGCGCGACCACATCTAATCCATCTTACATAAAGTACCACTTTCGTCGTTACGTAATAACGGATTAACAAAATGATATACTAAAATTTAAGTAACAATCAAAATAAATATTTTATTTAATGTAACCATACAATACAATAGATAACAACCGTCCCAAGCTGGCGAGCTATTCTTTTTCCCTCTCCAATTTTTTGTATGTCAAATTTTAATAGACCAAATGAATCCTTGATACAAGCCGGATGAGCACGCTTAATAAGGATGATTTCCTAGTCAATATCATATCATTAGAGTGCTTTAAAAGAGTCAAGATCAAGAAGGCTGTCACGATCCTGCATCCTCAAAACTCCATCATCTCCAACTGTAACATGCTTGGCACCACCGTACCGCACTGTGTCCCTAAGGACAAGAAAATGAGGGTCATCATACTGCCAATCTCTAATACGCTCCAATAATGAAGACCGAGTGACCGTACAAGCTAGAACACGACTGGGCTCAGAAACATCTAACCTTACGAACTGATTGGCCAAAGATTGACCATCAAAAGCAAGCGGTCTCTCACCGACTGGAATATATGCAAGGTTGCCCATACTAGCCGACTTCCTACTCAAAGCATCGACCATTATATTATCCTTCTCGGGATGATACAAGATGGTGATATCATAGTCCTTCAGTAGCTCCAACCACCTCCTGTGCCTCAAATTTAGCTCCTTCTGCTTGAACAAGTATTGCAAACTCTTATGATCCGTGAACACCTCACACGACACGCCATATAGATAATGCCTCCAAATCTTCAGCGCGTGGATAATGGCTCCTAGCTCCAAATCATGAATTGGATAGTTCTGCTCGTGAATATTCAACTTCCGCAAAGCATATGCAATAACCTTGTCATTCTGCATCAACACCGCACCAAGCCCAATATGAGATGCGTCACAATACATTATATATGGCCCTGAACCTGTGGCCAACACCAACACCGGTGCCGTAGTCAAAGCTGTCTTGAGCTTCTGAAAGCTCGCCTCACACTCGTCTGACCACCTGAACGAGGCACCCTTCTGGGTCAACCTGGTCATCGAGGCTGCTACAGATGAAAACCTCTCCACAAACTGACGGTAATAACCCGCCAAGCCCAAGAAACTCCGGATCTTTGTAACTGATGTGGGTCTAGGCTAGCCCTTGAGTGCCTCAATCTTCTTAGGATCCACCTGAATACCCTCTACTGATACAATTTGATCTAATAATGCAACTAAACTCAACCAAAACTCACATTCCGAAAACTTAGCATATAACCGACTGTCTCTCAGAGTCTGAAGAACGACTCGAAGATGCTGCTCATGCTCCTCTCGGCTACAGGAGTAGATCAAGATATCATCAATGAAAACAATCACAAAGGAATCCAGATAAGGCCTGAACACTCGGTTCATCAAATCCATAAATGCTGCTGGGGCATTTGTCAACCCAAATGACATCACTAAGAACTCATAATGCTTGTACCGAGTCAGAAAAGTTGTCTTAGAGACATCAGATGCCCTAATCCTCAACTAATGGTAGCCAGAACTCAAATCAATCTTCGAAAAACTTTGGCACCCTGAAGCTGATCAATTAAATCATCAATCCTCAGCAATGGATACTTGTTCTTGATGGTGACTTTGTTCAACTGCCGATAGTCTATGCACATCCTCATCGACCTATCCTTCTTCTTAATAAACAACACTGACACCACAGGGCGAAAAGCTAGGTCTAGTAAAGCCCTTATCAAGCAAATCTTGTAACTGTTCCTTCAATTCTTTCAACTCTGGTGGGGCCATGCGATACACGAAATAGAAATGGGCTGAGTGCCCGGAGCCAAATTAATACAAAAGTCAATATCCTTGTCGGGTGGCATCCTTTGCAGGTCTATAGGAAATACCTCTGGAAACTCACGAACAACTGGTATGGAATCCATGGAAGGAACCTCTACACTGTAATCGCGAACATAAGCCAAATAAGCCAAACACACCTTCTCGACCATTCACCGAGCCTTTATATAAGAAATGAACCTAATGGTAGAATGACCAAGAGCCCCTCCCCACTACAATCGAGGCAACCCCGACAAGTCTAAGGCCACGGTCTTGGCGTAGCAGTCCAATATGGCATGATAAGATGACAGCCAATCCATCCCCAAGATGACATCAAAATCGACCATATCAAGAAGTAGGAGATCTACAGGGTCTCAAGGCCCACAATAATAACAACACACGAGCGATAAATACGATCTACAATAATAAAATCACCTACCGATGTGGACACATATACAGGAGCACTCAAAGAATCACGAGGCACAACCAAATACGTAGCAAAATAAGATGACACATAGGAGTATGTAGGCCCTGGATCAAATAGAACTGAAGCATCTCTACTGCAAACTTAAACTGTACCTGTGATAACGGCATCAGATGCCTTAGCCTCAGGCCTGTCTGGAAAAGCATAACATCAGGGCTGGGGCCCACCACTCTGAACTACATCCCTAAGATGGTCTCCTATTGGCTGCCCTCCACCTCTAGCGGCTTGACCTCCACCTTTAATACCTCGACCTCCGCCTTTAGCTGTCTGACCCCTACCTCTAGCTGGCTGAGCAGGCGGTGGAGCACCCGGTGCCGGAACCATGGGACGAGAACCCTGATGCTGAGAACCACTCGATGCTCGAGAGCAATACCTAGTAATGTGCCTTGGATAGCCACAAGTATAACAAAACCTTGGCTGCTGAGATTGCTGACCCTAAAACTGACCCTGACGGCCTGAGTAACCATCCTGAAAACTCTGGAGCGAAAGTGCACTAATAGGAGCTAGTGATGCACTGTAGGGTAGCTGATCAGAATACTGCATATGAGAACCATGACCACCTGAAGCACCGTGAGAAGCCTGAAGTGCTGAATGAAACGGCCTGGAAGGATGGCCCCTACTAAAAGAATCCCTGCCTCCAGATGAGGTACCACTGAACCTACCAGAATGACGAGGCCTCTTGTCAGACCTCTGATCGCTCCCCTGAGCTAGAACAATCTCAACCCGCCTGGCTACATTGGCCGTATCCTGGAAAGAAATTTCGCTCCCTGTCTCCTTAGCCATCTGCAATCTGATAGGATGAGCGAGTCCCTCAATGAGCCTCCTCACTCTCTCTCTCTATCTCTTGGTAGGGAGTGTAAGAAGAACATGACTAGCCAAATCAACAAACTTAGTCTCGTACTGGGTAACAGTCATAGAACCCTGCTGAAGATGCTAGAACCGCATGCGGTAGTTCTCTCTCTGAGTGATAGGAAAGAACTTCTCCAGAAATAGCTGAGAGAACTAGTCCCAAGTCAAGGAAGGTGACCCAATTGGTCTAGTCTACACAAAATTATTCCACCATCTCTTGGCAGACCCTATCATCTGGAATACAGCAAAGTCGACCCTATTGGTCTCTACTATCCCCATGTTTTGCAACACCTCATGGCAGCGGTCAAGATAATCCCGGGGGTCCTCAGATGCTGCCCCACTGTAATGAACCGGGAAAAGCTTGGTAAACTTATCCAACCTCAACAAAGCCTCAGAAGACATAGATGATCCATCATCGGCTTGAGCCACAACAACTGGCTGAGCTACTCCCACTGTCTGAGTTACTGGAGCTTGGAACTGAGGAGCCATTTGCTCTGGGGTATAGGTAGCGGCAGTCTAAGCTCCTCCCCCAGCTTGAGAGACGGCTGGTGCTATAGGGAATGTGCCAGTCTAAGTTACGCTCTCCATAAGGCTCACTAGACGGACCAAAGCATCTTGAAGTACCGGGGTAGCGATGAACCCCTCGAGAACCTGAGCTGGCCCTGCTGGAACAGTCTGAGCCGGAACCTCATCATCAAACTCCACTTGAGGCTCCGCTGCTGGTACAACTACTCGATCTCTAGGCTAAGCCCTGCTCCTGCCTAGGCCTCTAGCACGGCCTCAGCCTCGTCCTCTACCCCTCGTATGAGCTGCCACTGAGGGCTCGGGCTGCTGATCAACTGATGAAGCGGTACGTGTTCTCACCATCTACGAAAGAACAGAGTAGAAATTTAATTAGCATTGAGAAGTCAAATCCCACGATAGAGAAGAATAGATATGAAGTTATTCCTAAGCTCTATAGCCTCTGAGGGATAAGCACAGACGTCTCCATACCGATCCCTCAGACTCTACCTAGCTTCTTCGTGAATTGTAGGACCTAGGCAACCTCGTGCTCTGATACCAACATGTCACGATCCGGATTTCCTACCGTTAGTGTCGTAATGGCGTCTAGCTCTTGAATGCTAGGAATCCAATAGTTACGGTTCTAACACATTAATCATTTACCCAAAACTGTATTAAATAATAATTAAAGCTAAACAGATATAAGTGCGAAATTTTTTATAACAGTTCAAAACTCTAAAACACGACTACCCTAGTGATCTGGTGTGTCAATCCACAAAATGTGAAGACCCAAAAGGTCATCTCTTATTTTAGAAGTCAAATCTGTATTCTGAGGCCTTAAGAACCTCCTTTTATCTTACCTCGATTTGCATGCGAAGTCCAAACGTATATCCAGAAAGCCCTTATGTGAAAATTTGAGAACAATGCTAAATTTTGCCTTTAAAAATTGAATTTATGGACTTTATTCAACATTTTGGGTAAACGGATCTGGACACGTGATTTGACGGTCATGTAGGGTCTATAGAAAAATATATGACTTGGGCGTATGCTCAGAATTGAATTTCGAGGTCCCTAGCCCGAGAAATAAATTTTGAAGAAAATTGTTTAACTAAAAAATATAAGGAGTTTAGAAATTGAATAATGAGTGAATTCGATGATATCGGGCCTGTGTTTTGGTTCCGGAGCTCGGTACAGGTTTA